TCCAATTGTATGACAACTTTAGCTTTTTCACGGTTCTGTTCTTGAGACTTTTTTTTTTTGAGATGGAGTTTCTCTCTTGTCTCTGAGGCTGGAGTGCAGTGGTGCAATCTCAGCTCACTGCAACCTCCGCCTCCCAGATTCAAGCAATTCTCCTGCCTCAGCCTCCCTGTTAGTTGGGATTACAGGCACCTGCCACATCACGCCCAGCTAATGTTCGTAATTTTAGTAGAGATGGGGTTTCACCATGTTGGCCAGGCTGGTCTCCAACTCCTGACCTCAGGAGATCCACCTGCCTCAGCCTCCCAAAGTGCTGGGATTACAGGTGTGAGCCACCATGCCCGGCCAGGAGTTCTTTTTATCCAGTAGCAGTGTGCGAGTAACGAAGAGCCAACTGCAGATGCTATACAGAGTGTGCCCAGGAAAAAGTTGGGTTTTGATAGCTTTCTACTCAGAGGAAAAAGACGAGTTTGGGTGCACAGGGATCAGAACTTGAACTTCGGATCTTGGGAGCAAAAGGCTACTTAGATGCCTAAACTCAGAAGCTTCGCTGTTGTTGTTGCTGCTGCTTTGAGAATGTTGTGAAGTATACACATTTGTCTGTGGTCTGTCTGTGAAAATATCCGTTCCATTTTTTTTGTTGTCGTTTTGAATTCTCAACTAGACATGCTAAAAATGAGCAGGCAAAACAAGCCAGCAAGCTAAGTTGGTGTTTCCTATTGCAACTGGAGCTGCCGAGGCCTAAGCAGGGTTGCCTCTTGTGTGAGCACTAACACGGCTCCCTGACAACCAGATGGATGGCTTCCTTGTGACAGTTTCAAAGAGTAGCCGCATGTGACTAACGAACTTGAAACATACTGTTTAGGAGATACACCTGAGCACATGCTGAGGCCATCCAGAGACTCAGTGGGTCACAAAAGTCTCAGGCAAGACAAGCCAGGTCTCTTGTGAGAGGTTCTGGAATTTGGTCCACAGATCACCATCAGTATAATCTAGAAACCTGTTAGAACTGCAAATTCATGGGCCCTACCCCAGGCCCACTAAATCAGAAATTCCCAGTGGATGTTCCCAAAATATGTTTCAACAGGCCATCCAGATGATTCTGATGCACCTAAGCTTTGTGAATAACTGAACTCGAAGGATTGGCGCCTTCTGTCTCCTCACTTCTTTAGAGGAAGAGGCCTTTGTTCTTTTCTTTTCTTATTTATTTATATATTTTTTGAGATGGAGGCTCACTCTGCTGCCCAGGCTGGAGTGCAGTGGTGCAATCTCAGCTCACAGCAACCTCCGCCTCCTGGGTTCAAGCGATTCTCCTGCCTCAGCCTCTGGAGTAGCTGGGATTACAAGCGCACACCACCAGGCCCAGCTACTTTTTTTGTACTTTTAGTAGAGACAGTTTCACCATGTTGACCAGGTTGGTCTCTATCTCCTGACCTCATGATCCACCACCTCGGCCTCCCAAAGTGCTGGGATTACAGGCATGAGCCACCGTGCCCGGCCGGGAGCTTCGTTTCTGTAGTACCTGGAGGGAGCACAGATGCAGCAGGGATCTGGGACACATCCATATCTGAGCATACCAATCCTAAGCATCCTTGAGGCTCCACTTCCCAGCACACTTCCTCTCACTTCTTCTGTCTGCTGCTCACTGGTTGCCTCTTTTTCTTCTGTAGTGTGATGGATCTCGCACCAGGTTACTTAAGGATGTATACCCCCTGCTTGAATCCTGAAAGCTAGGTGGTGAGCCAAGGCCATGGTGCCCAGATAAGGAGCACGTGTCCCTGAGAACCCAAATATCTGGGAGAGTATCTACAAACCTACCAAGAAAAACAGTGTCATCACTCAAACACTGTAGACAAACAACCAGAAAATAAACTTAATAGCAGTTTAGAGCCTGGATGTGGCGACACGCGCTTGTAATCCCAGCACTCTGAGAGGCCAAAGTGGGTGGATCGCTTGAGCCCAGGAGTTCGACCAGCCTGGCCAACAAACCCCATCTCTACTAAAAATACAAAAATTAGCAGGACGGGGTGGCATGTGCCTGTAATCCCAGGTACTTTGGAAGCTGAGAATCACTTGAACTGGGAGGTGGAGATTGCAGTGAGCCAAGATGGCAGCACTATACTCCAGTCTGGGAGACAGAGTGAGACTTTGTCAAAAAAATAAATAAATAAGCCGTTTAAAGACGGGAGGCAGTGTGAACCTCCAGAGCTGTTCTGCTGCTATCCAGGAGTATAACCTCATCTACCTGTCAAGCTGTACTTCTCCAAGTCGTTCTTTGGTTTCTCGGTTCCTTCCCAATTTAGAGGGATGCTACAGTTCTAAGTTTGGCTCATAACAATTGGCATCACAAACAGAATCCGAGGGACCAAACAATGAGTCAGGAAAGGGCATCTGCAGGGGGAATCCTGGGGTGGTCAGCAACACGCAGGTGGGATGGAATTGCCGGAGCAGTCAACCTTTGTGGACTGCTGCGCAACTATAAGCATGCTCAGAAAACGTGGTGAGGACTAAGCACATATTGCAGGAAGCTAAGACACGAAAGTAGGATCAGGATAGCAAATGTGCCTTTGTTGCAATAAGGCTGGCCCCTGAAAAATCATTAGAGCAGGAAAGGGAGAAAAGGGAGAAACGCTGCAGAAGCTCAGAGGCGTGCCAGCTTTTCTAGGACTCCAGCTGGTTATCGATCATGGTCTTCCTTGTGCACATTTTTAAACTGATGGGCAAATTACAACAAACAAATTCAGATCTCTCATGGTTGAACTGCAACTATAGAGTTAAGTAGACTCTCCTAAAGCTCTCTATTTCTCTCTTATTTTTTTGTTTCTGCTTATTTTGAATATGCCATTATTAAGCTACTGGTGTTGAAATAAAACTCGCTAACTCAAAGCCACTTGGAGAGTTTACTTTTCTTATGCAGTACAGCCAGTTCTTACTAAAATGTAAACAATGAAACTCTTTTGAAACAGAGAAAAAAGGGGATGGGGATAAAAGAAGGTTTTAAAAATCAGACTGCTATAGAAAGAATGGCTGTTAAAGACCCAGATGTGTGCAGAGTTTCCAGATAGCTATTTAAGCTCCTGTACTAAGAATCTCCCTAAAGCCATACGGATTTTAAAGGAGTCACCCACTAGCACACATTGCATCACTACCTATAAATGGTTGGCAAGGCCTCTAAGACGCGTTCCACAAAGTCTCAGGGCTACCTCTAAGACACTGAGCCTTGCTCCTGAGGCAGATGTTGAGACAGGCTCCTGAGCAGTGGATCTGCCAAGCAGCAATGGCTGTTGGGACCTGAAGCTGAGCTGGAATGCCCTCTGTACTGGAACAGTTTTACATACTGGAGGGTGCCATGATAACTGCCATAGAGGCAGTGATCTCAGCTGTGCTCCTTGGTGGAGTTCCAAGAGACTTACTATATCAACATACGGCAGCACCCATACCTGCTGGAGTAATTATAGTGTGGAGAGCATGGGCAAGGCTGGAAACTTATCACTTGGCTATTAGGCTGCTCCTGGGAACTGAAGCCATGTGTGGCTTTGTTACTCTGGCCTGAAGCCCACCGTGGCATCCCTAACAGTGGGAGAGAACACAATGATGATAACGTTACTGGGCATGAGTGTGCCTATAGGTTTCCTGCTAAACAGCAGTGTTGATGCTCAAAGGTTGTTCCTGCCACTCACGGCAGCTAGTCATGTCTTTCTAGACTGAGCTGCAACTCCAGAAGCAGTCAACAACCACCAGACGCCTCTCCCTGTCGGATAATAATGATATGCCTTGAAATCCTCTGCCTTTCTCCTGATGGAACTGGAGTGACTGCTGCAACAGTACAGATGATGCAACCCGGGCTCACTAGGCACAGCCTCCACCTCGGGGCTCAATCGCCAACGTGTTGAAGACCCAAAATGTGCCTTTTAAGGTGCCACCTGTTGCACCTATTTCCCTGATGAAGAGAGTCATGTCACAGATATGTTAAACCATTTGTCAACTCAGATCCATGATACAACCTAACTAGGTTTCTTTTACTCATTCTCAGATTGGTTACACAGCTTCCCTAGTCATGGCAATTATGTTCTGCTGATGGACATTGTAATTGTAGTTAGCTCCTGCTTTCTGCACTGCTACGTATACAGTAGATGTGGTCTGTATGCACAAGCCACGGCTATACGTTATAGGCGTGTATCGTTCTTTCCTTGCAGCCTACTCAGGGACTCCCATACAAGACTGGCAGAAAGAATGTGAGAGCTGGGGAGCAGGGTGGCTTGCAGTGTGACACATCCTCCACTAGGTTACTTAAGAGTGTATGTCTAGTGCCTAAACCCTGAAGGCCCAGTGCTCAGCCAAGGCCAGGATGCCCAGCAGAGGAGCAGGTGTCCTTAAGAATGCAAAGATCTCAGACAGCATCTGAGAACTACCAAGAAAAACAGTCTCATTGATTGAACACAGAAGGCAAAAATCCAGAAAATTAACTTAAGAACAGTTTAAAGAGAGGAGGTGGCATGGATCTCTAGAGCTGTCCTGCTGCACCCAGGAGCATCCTGTATCTAAATGCTACTAAGCTCACCTGCTTATTAAAGCTGGACTGTCTTTGGTCTTCCAGGACCTTCCCAGTTTGTGGGGAACCTTACAGTCCCAAGTTTTTCTTCTAGTACTTTTTTTTTTTTTTTTTTTTGAGAAGGAGTTTCGCTCTTGTTACCCAGGCTGGAGTGCAATGGCACCATCTCGGCTCACCGCAACCTCCGCCTCCTGGGTTCAAGCAATTCTCCTGCCTCAGCCTCCTGAGTAGCTGGGACTACAGGCGTGCGCCACCATGCCCAGCTAATTTTTGTATTTTCAGTAGAGACGGGGTTTCACCATGTTGACCAGGATGGTCTCGATCTCTTGACCTCGTGATCCACCCGCCTCAGCCTCCCAAAGTGCTGGGATTACAGGCGTGAGCCACCGCGCCCGGCCTCTAGTACTTTTTAATCTTTCTCCTCCCCTTGTTAACTTTCCCCAGATCCCAGTTTCAGTTTCTGTTGCTGTGGCTAGATTTTCAGGCCCAGTGGTTTTTACACTTGCCTGATTATCAAATTCAACTGGGAAAGATTAAATAACACAAGATTGCACAGATGTGAGGACAATCTGGCTGCGACATCTGTCACCCCATGAAGATTCCCAGGCCCTTTTCTGGAGACTCTGAAAGCACTCAGCATCTCAGTCTCTTGGGTAAGGCCTGGGAATACATGTTTTTATTCAACTCCCCCAGGTAAAAGTTCACCCTTGGGGACTCCTGCAGTGTTGTCCCAAAAGCACATACAGGAAGGTCTAGGGGAGAAAAACCTCTTTTCCCACCCAGTGCTAGGTTCATGGCTGAGTCCTCATAACAGAAGATAGATTAACAAGAGAAAAGCATACACATCTATTAAACTAAGTTTTATGTGACATAGGCGCTTTTGGAAATGAAGACCTAAAGAAACAGGAAAATCTGTGTACACCAGATCCGTGAATAACGTTGTTTCATTTAACATCATTTTGTTATAATGTTGATGAGAAAAAAATCTATTTCTCCTGGAAGCTGCTGTCTGTGTGGGTTTCCTTCCGTACATCAAAAATGTTCACATTAGGTTCCTTGGCATATCTACATAGTCTGAGGTGGGGAGGGGAGGAAGCGTGCGTGTGTGTGTGTGTGTGTGTGTGTGTGGTAAGAACCAGCCCTATGATGGAATGTCCACCTGTCCAGGGTGAGCTCCCACCTAACACTCTGAGCAGTGGAACTAGGCTTCAGCCACCCAGGACCTTGAACCAGAGTAAGCAGGTTGAAAAATGCATGAATGAATACAAGTTGCTGCAAAATCAAAATTCAGGAAGCATACCACAATCCTACAAATGCATGACAATCATTGATATGGTGCTAAAGCACTCAGCCGCTGTATTCTTGTTTTTGAACCGTGTGGTGGTAGGAATTGCTCTCTACAATTGTTCCTTTGCAAACATTTATTCCTTGATATAACCCATCACCACTAGAACTGCTGTCACTGATTCACCAAAAATTGGGTAAATAATTATATTATTTATTAATCTTAACTATATGTATAGCTCATTTCTTTCAATATTTAATATTAGAAGTGTTTGGAGTCTTTATTTAGAAATTTGGTATTTTGTGACCACAAATTTGCCATACTTAACTCTTGTTTGTATCAATTAGTGCAGTCTTTGGTAAAATTGGTTTTGTTTTGCTTAAGGTAATAGTTTCCAAGAACCAATCGACAGTAAGTGAGGACTTCCTATATTTTTATGCTTAAGTTTGATGAAGAAGTAGATAGTCCTGTAGAAGTATAATTGGACAAAGGGGGTGTGATCTAATTGTTATAAACTGGGGTGAACTTAGCAAAGCCTGTTTCTTCAGATTCTCCTTGGCATGTCCGTGTGGTTATTTCTTTCCTCGGGGTATAGGGAAGAGCTGGCTCTGAAATGACAGTCTTATCACCCACTTTAATGGGAAGATCAGCTACCTTTCATGGCCTGCTTCAAGGAACAAGGGCCCATAGAAAGAGACGTTTTTGCTTCTGCTGTTTTCTCAAATGCGAAGGTGCCGTATTTTGGGAGTAGGGTGACCTGAACTGAGTCAAAAGACGAATAAGTGTTTTTAATCTCTGGATGACAGGGCCGCGTGTGGCTCACGCATTGCAGGTATACCGTGGCCATTTCCGTGTGTCCATCCCTAGGCGCGCAGTCCAGCTGGCTGTGACCGGCCGGGAGCGCCAGGCCTGGAGCTGGGGAGGTCCCTAAAGTAGGCTAGATGTTGTTTTCAGGTTTCCAAGGGGAATCAGGTCTCTTGAGGGTGGGAGCGAATCAGAGGGAAACAGAAAAGATGGAGGATTTGCTCCAGAAGCTCATTTGTGGATTGACTCTCGCAGCAAGGTTTGGCGAGCGGCGGGAAGCGCCTGGCGGTTGTGCCCCAGTGGGGAGGTCTGAGCCCTGTCCAGGAGCGCGGAGGTGTCTCAGCCACAGGTCACCCCGCCCCTCATACCTTCTGCTCCGCGGAGGGTCCCGGGAAGAAGGGCCGTAAGCGCTGGTGTACCCTTCTCGCTCCTTGTCCCCGCATTACGCAGCTCGGGACTCCACACCCGCGCCTCGGAGCCGTGAAACGCAGAGCGCGCAGGTTCTGAGCCCCGAGGCCGGGCGTGGGAACCTTCGGGAGCCGTGACTCCTCCCGGCGCGAACCTCTGCAGTTCCCCGCCTGTCCTCTCCCCACGTGGACCTGCGTTCCCGCGGCGGCGTTCAGGGGTTTCTGTTTCTCCCGCTGCGTTCTGCTCGCGGTTTCGCTGCAATGGTTCCAAGAAGAGACGGCCCCATCGCAGACCTTCCCCGGGGGCGGCCGGGATCCTCACAGCCCCGCGGGCCGCTGTCGAGCGGGCGTCCCGGGCTGAGCTGCGGCGGGAGATCCCGGGCCCAGCCGGAACTTTCAACACCCTTTTTCCTTTTCTCAGCGTTGCCAGGAGACAATATCCAGTGCAGCGAATTCAAAACGCAGTTTGACGGAATGTGCTTCTTGGCACGACCGGAAATCCTGACAGGTCATAGAAATATTTTGGCCAAAATAAAGTACGAGGGGGTGTAGCTCAGTGGTAGAGCGCGTGCTTAGCATGCACGAGGCCCCGGGTTCAATCCCCGGCACCTCCACTTTTTCCACCCCCTCCTGGTTGTGGCATTGTTTGCAAGACTACGTCCACCATGTCACCATGTCCACAACTCGCCTCAGTTTTGTTTTGTTTTTGTGGCACTTCCACTCTCTATCAGTTCTTCCAATTCACATGGAAACCTAGGAAAACAAACTCTCTTTTGCTTTTAATATAGACGCATTTCTGCCCTAAGGCTTTGACACCAGCCTGGGTGGCTGGGTCAAGAGACAAAAGACCAGATGAAAGAGGCCAGGAAAGCACAGACTGGCTCACAATTCCAAAAGCCGAAAAACAAGCAAGTCACCAAGCTAACAAGCCCAATCACATTGGCTACATTTCCCAGTATTATCAAAGAGCAAGCAAGAAAGAAAAAGACCGAAATCAAACGCGAAACCATAGGTATTTTCTTTAGATTCCTTCTTTCTTGAGCTCTTCCTTGACCAAGGGACAGACCCAGAGGACAGAAAAACTGTCCCAGATTTTAGGACTCATATGTGAAAAGGTTTTGGTTTACAGCTTCAGGAATCACATATGAAAAGGTTCCGGTTTACAGTTTTAGGAATCACATGTGAAAAGGCCTCTGTTTACAGTTTCAGGAATCACAAATGAAAGGGTTCTGGTTTACAGTTTTAGGACTCACATGTGAAAAGGTTTCTGGTTTGATCTTGTTTTAAGTAAAAATAGTGCCTTCGGGAGAGTTTCCCCAAGACCAAGCATGCCACCTACAGGAGGGTGAAACCGGAGGCGCCAGTCTATCAGCCTTTTCTTCTACTGAAATGCAGTGTGATTAGTCAAAGGGGAAGTTGATCTCAGACGCCTGGGTCTCCTTCACCGGCAGTTATCTGGAAGGAGTCTGCAGCAACCTTAATTCTTGCCTCTTCAGGAGAAAGAAAGAATTCCATTGAGAGGCAGAAGGAGGGCCGGAGCCAAGGCTTACAGCAGGAGTGAACGTTTATTAAAAAGATTGAGAGCGGTAATGAAGGAAAGTACATTGGAAGAAGGCAGAGCGGGCGACCTGAAGGACCAGAGGTATGGCTTCACGTCTTGAGCTGGGGTGGTAAACGCTGGCATACTTCCTGGATCTTTTGTTACTTCTCCCCATTACCGAGATCTTACTGGGCAGTGACTGGCCCCCAGTTTCAGGTGTTTTCTATGTATTAAGAAACGGCCTTTCACTGGCACCAGCTGTGACCAATTATTACTTCAGAGAAATCGTTAACAACCGCCTGACCCTTTACTTCTGGTGCGTGTGTGTGTGCGGAGCCCCCTCCTGCCCTGCTCACACCTGTGCTACCGACTGTAACAAAATCATACAAGCTTCACACAAACCCTTGGCAAAGAGCCCCTCCTGTGCCACCTCTCAGGCCTTGAGGCGCAAGTATTAATGGCATGGTCTGCCCTCAAAAGGATGGATCAGCAAAGAGGCCTTTGCAGAATGTAGGATCAGAGTTGTTTCGTAGCTAATTCTGGGAGCCCAGGTAAGTAGGGTAGGGACTCCATGCCTAAAGGGACGTTTGCGCTAGGAAAGGGCCCAGGGCATAAGCAGCCACTGCCCAGGATTAGGTGTGATACTGGGCCGTGCCGTAAGTGCAAGGGCATATTTGTGCTTGACAAACCCACAATGGTCCTTTACAGTGCGGTTCTAAGGTTAATTTTTCATGCTGTCTTTTCCAAAATACCGTTTCCTGACCCGGGGATGTATCTGATTTGGAAATACAAGTGGGACCTGCTGGACAGGACTGACATTAGATTTTGACAATTCCTGCAAAATTAGAGTGTAACAAGGTAGACTGTCAGAGGAAGAATCAATCTAAACTTCATAGATTTCTTTTTTTTTTTTTTTTTTTTTTTTTTTTTTTTTTTTT